TAGACGAGCTTTTGATGCGCTCAGTTTAGCAACCTGCACGTTGAAATCACCTGCAAGTATCACTATGTCGGAGCTTCGACTCAACCAAGTGAGATCGGTAAGTTTACGGTAGAAATCCGCCTTTTGTACATCAGAACTGCAACTGGCTGATGCATATGCCAATATGATGAGCAAACAGCTTTTATTGTTGCTTCTCTTCCGGGTGCTGATTGACCCCAGGAGACGAACTGCACATAAACGACTGCTGACGGGAAACCAATCGACAAGAAAGGACTTGGTCATGTTACTGAGTGCATTTTCTACCCCGCACTGACCTACTGCACAGACTTTGTCGTTACCTGGTGTGCGCAGAACGAACCTCGAGGAGAAATGTGGCGCACTTCAGTAGTGCGATCCTGAATTCGAGTCTGAGATACGCGGCAAACGCCCATCCTTAAGGATTCCATTGTACCCACCTGAATCAGAGTCCTCACATCCCAAGATTCAGAGGTCGACCAGGCATCAGAATCTATAATCTACTTAGGAGAAACTACGTAGTGCTAAGTGACGAGCTTCGGTGAGTGTTAAACGAGTAATGCAATATTATGGGTCGGAAGAAGGGAGAGTTGGGTATAGAAGATAATGAGTTAAACAAAGGTTGGGATGTCTTAGCATTAGCTCACTTATCAATACTCACCCCGCTTGATGCAGTGGGCAATGCGGTCCTAGTTACTCTGCGTGGCGTCTGATGCAGTATTGAATTATTTTTACTTTGTGTTTATTGGAGCTGTATGGATGGATAATGCTAAGGAGTGCAACCACTGATCAGGCGAACGATTAGTGTTCTCAACCAAAGACTTCAGTTTTGACAAGAACATAACCGCTAGGCAGCAAGTATAGCGGAGTGGAGACCCATCTATTTTGATCAATTACTTCTCATCCATCATTTTTATCAACAGAGACGCAGACTCGAGTCAACCCCCCAACCCGGAGACCTTGTTTGACCTCTACCCTCTGGCCGTCCAGGCATGATTAGATCTTCGCCTAAACAATAATGGACATATCTCGGTTTTATATGATCATAGGTGATAGATAATTGGGCAAATAACGGACACCAGAAAGGTGGAATATGTCCTGATGAACAAGATCTTTTACGAGCTCAGTGGTGCTACCACTATCGAATGATCTCTGCNCTCCGGGGAAGAATTGGAATTTGCTCGTCATCAGAATCCCTGATTACGACACGCAACCCATGTGGGATAGTCCGGTTAGCGCATTTCACGTACCGTCATCGACTGATCTATAGGTGTGTAACAAAAATTTTTGGCGGTAAACAAACGAGCACTACTGTCCAGTTGTATGGAGGCTGCAATTCGATAAATATGGATGTGAGGGAGAGAGAAACAAAAGGCACGTGTGCGATAAGCTAGATCAATTCAAAAGAATTCACAACTCTGTGTGTATATACGTGTGTGTTTGAGTGCTCATGCATATGAAAATGAGTGAATGAATTTTTTTCTCACTGTGTACAGATTCATGGAGCATGAACTTTTGGAGTAGCAAAAGTACCTAACCGGTAGATGGGCTGGATGATTTTGCATTTGACGGATATGTGATCCCGCGTTGCCCGAGAAAGCCCAGGGTATTCTGGCGACCGTGAGCAGACGGTTGAAGAGCACCCAGTGTGTGATGAGATGTGAGAAATCCATATATCACGAAAGCACAGCGCCACAAGGCACGGAGACTGGCTGTATCGATCGATCGAACAACAATAGCCACAACCGTTGTCAAGTCAGTAGGAGGAACGTGACGCAATGCGTCCGGCTCTGAGTCCGTACGCCCAAGGAGAAACTAAGAACAATGCACCAATTGGTAAAACCAAAATAAAAGTAGAGAATAAAAGAGTGCGCACGCACGCACGAAATGACGAACAACGGGAGCAAGGGAAAGTTTGGTTCACGGCGTATTCAGTCTAGGCGAATGGGTGGTGGCTGTTCGGGAATCAGTGATGTAAGCAAGGAGGAGAAAAATTGATACGAAGTA